TTGGCCAGTTGTGTTCCTGCCTGTCCCAGGATATAACCTCTTACTGGGTTCTTTGGCCTTGAATTATACGCAGTTCTTATATTCCCCTCTTTCTCCCAGTCTTCAACCCACTCAGCGTTCCCTCTTCCTGTAGTTCTCATCCTAGTCTTCCCTCCCCAGTTTTGCCACCACAAGACTCATCCACTAACTCACTAGCAAACACTTGCATTTTTCTCCCACAAGCCCCATTGGTGGAGGGGAAGGAGAGGAAGAAGTCTTCCAGTGTATTCACCAATGTTCTCTGAGACAGACACCTCTCCTTTTATAATTGCCTAGATTGAGGGTAAAACCCTATTCCCACTGAAGAATTGCCTATTAGCTTCACTTCAGTGTGATCAGGATGAGCCCAAGTTCTAAAGGGTATTTCTGCTCAAACTGGTCACACAGTTATGTACATGGAAAATATTTTACAAATAGGATACTAATAAAGCCTGATTAAAATACAGTGTAGCTCAACTTGAAATAACCACCCATGGACACAACTGGCAAAAATAATAGAAGAAATCATCTTTAATTGAGTCATTGTGAAAACCACATTCTCTCTCAAAAGAGGAATTTCCTGATTGTACCTATTTCTCCACTTAAACAGTCTTTCTGAGCCTTCCAATCTCCTAATAAAACCATCCCTATTTTGGAAAAGTTACCTGGTAGCTGTCGCCTCATCCAACTCCCTACTCAGCTCTTATGTCTTTCAGTATGGATGCTTCCATTTTCCATCATGTTCCTCAGAGCACCTGGCAGGCCTGCTTTGAACAGGACAATGCTGACTAACTCCTTATCATACGGATTTCTTCACTGCTGTAAAAATCTCAAAAGAAACTCCTGGGACCTGTGTCACCAGTGAGATGACTGGGATGGAAACAGATGACCAACCAAATTCTGATCCAAATGATCACCCTTTCTCCAGTTACTATTTGAAAACGTTTCAAGAAGAGGGCTAATGCCTAAAGATTCCTTTCTGATCACCAATCCATGGCTCTTAGCGCAATTATACCTGTATGATGTCACTTTATTTTCCAGTGTGATCTTTTACAATACAGTCATGTTCTACAATACAATACAAAATGCAACAGGACTTCAGGATACACAGCATTGTTATAAATTCATTTATATTGAGCTGTAATGCCAATAAGAAGTTTTCCACTAGTATTATGCTAATGCCAGTAAATTCAGCACTTATATATAAACTAGATTTATGGTGGTGGAGTGGGGTTGGCAAGATGGAAGACAAGTCATCCTCCTCTTACATGATCAAATTCAGAACATGTCTGGCTACCATTACTACCTGCTGAAAAATGCCAGAAGGGAGGAGATTATTTCAAAATGTAAAGCTAACTAAGGGAAAAATATGCAATGAAGATCAACAAAAAAGAGAGATGGGGAGGCATGACTAGGGAGTGGATACCTACTGTAAATCCAATTTTATAATGTTACAGCTGTTGCAGCCTCATGAAATTCCTGTTTATTTAAAACTGCTGCTTAAATATGGTATCTTTTGAATTATATCAAGCCGATATGAAACATTTAAAATAAAGGAATAGGCACAAACAGGGATGACAGCACAGCAGCCACAAAATAAGAGAGGACATTAGGTGAAGAGAAAAAACTGAAGTAGAATAAGGCTGGAGTTCTGGGCAGTGAAGCAAATTAATCACAAATATTTTAGATGCAACAGAAATTAAATTACTTCAGGGCAACTCCTATACGTGTACTAGCAGGATTGGCATGGATGTCAAATCAATTACAGGCTTTTCACACCAAAATGCATTTTAAATTACTGAGGACATCAATTGCCTTCCCAGCACACAGGTTCTTCAAAAAGTGATTTCTGACTGCCATTTCACACGTTACATAAGCTTAGTTGCTCAAATTCAGTTTAAAATTATTTTATAAGTAATCATTTCAATATTGAAATAAGATGCTATAAAATATAAATCTAAGCAGCCAACTAAAAATCACAAGTGAATTAAAGCTTAAATTGCCAATATTAATATTGAGGCTTTCAAAACTTTTAAACAATTTAATATTTTAACTAACTAAAAGCTTAAGATTTTTCATGTTATGCCGCTGTTAGCAGATGTTTAATCTACTGGCATCATGGCATTTACTGCCCCTCTCAGGACTTGTTTTTTTGGGTAATCCTAAGGAAGCCAGGTACAGGGCAGTGCTTTATCCTGAATCTGAGAGCAGAAATTCCCAAATTGTGGTCTTGGGAGTACTTGATAGCATTCCTTGGAGAGCACTGTGCTGACTCCTCATTTCCAGAAGAAAGGTTACTTTATGAGATAAAAGTTATACTAAATACTTTCCTAAGGAAAATATTTTGCAGTTGACTCAGATATTATGGGATTGTGGTTGAGATGGGAGGCTGGCCTGCATGGTCAGGAGACAAACTAGTGAAAGATATGGTCCATGCTATAAAGGTTCTGGTCTGAAAAGACAGAAGATGATACCTAGGTGGAAATCAGCATAAACTGAAAAATTCTGTTTTTTCCTTTTAATGTCAAATTACACCAACTCCTTCCAACACGTGTTGCTGTTACCACATGCTCACTATGTTCCCTCCAAGTGTTCCATTCCTTCTGCCTACTTCTTCCCAACTACTTCTCTTTCTCCTCTAGAATATTATCACCTCTACAAACCCACCCTGCCACAGATCCCGATTGTCTTTCACCAATTTCCAGTAGAGTCTTGTAACCCAACAGGAGCAGACTATATACATTTTAGAACAGGTATAAAAACCACGTGACACTCTCAGGCATTGGTTGGGTCATGTTTTTTCCCTTTTTGGGTACAGATGGTTCCAACTTCCCTCCCCTGCTCCTCCCTTCACCCTGCCTTCACTTCCCCTCCCCCTCAAGCCCTCGTCCTCTGCAGTTCCCACTGCCTCACAATCCTCTGTTCTCCTCTGCTCATCAACATACTCTCCTCGCTGCCCAGCCCGTCTGGCCAGGACGCATTGCCCCACCCCTGGTAACACAGTACCCCAAACAGGAATGACTTTGGTGGAGCCTCAGGATTCGAACTCCTGGAAGCAGGACAAAGACTAATTCTAGGCAGAATGAGGCCTGCTGTTGCCAAGGCGGATGGGAGCATCCCCATACTGCTGGCAAGTGGAGAGTGCTCTGGGGTGGCTGGTGCAGGTGCCCTCAGCTTACAGAAAGAAGCAAAGGAAGAACAGCTCCTGAGCCAGCATACAGCAGTCTGAGTGAGTCCTAGCCCTGAAATGCTAGCTAGACGATACCTACAACTGCTTGGCTTTATCCCAGAGATGGAGTGTCTGAGCAAACCACTGCAGTTCCCTTCAGAAAAGACAGCTTTCCTAGGGAGCAGGGCTGAGCTCATCACTTCCTGCAGGTCCTGAACTTCCAAAGGGATGAAAATCCCACTGATCCTCTGGGCATGGAGCACCACACTTGAGCCTGCAGACAGTAACCCCAGTGCCTCTACCCATAGGTCCATAAGCACAATTAACACAATTACAATTGCCAGAGTTGGGTCAGGTATGGAAATAGTTCTATGAGGCTCTGGAGCGACTGCAGTCTAGTCAGGTTAGGGTTTGACTTTAAAGGCGAGGTCTGAGCAGACCTTTCGATTCCAGCACTGCACTTTGTTAGAAAACAAACCTCCTGAATGAATAGTTTAAAACAGTGGTCCCCAACCTTTTGGGGCTGCTGGGCACCCAGGGGCGGGGCCGCTCACGCACCGCGTGTCCGGGGGCAGGGCCGCTCACGGGCCATGCGCCCGGGGGTGGGGCCAGCACATGCACCGCGCACCCGGGGCCCGCCCCCCCCATAGCTGCATGCCCGGGGCCGGCGCTCCCCCTGCCATGCGCCCAGTGCCAGGCCAGCCCCGAGCACCTGGCGGGCGCCTGGAAATGCCCCCGCAGGCACCATGGCGCCTGCGGGCACAGTGTTGGGGACCACGGGCTTAAAGTATATATTTTTTAAAGCAATGAAAAATGCCTGTGCTAAAGTCTCAGGGGCCTCTAACAGCTGTATGAAAACCTCCTGGTTCTTGCCCCCTGCCATGCGCCCAGTGCCAGGCCAGCCCCGAGCACCTGGCGGGCGCCTGGAAATGCCCCCGCAGGCACCATGGCGCCTGCGGGCACAGTGTTGGGGACCACGGGCTTAAAGTATATATTTTTTAAAGCAATGAAAAATGCCTGTGCTAAAGTCTCAGGGGCCTCTAACAGCTGTATGAAAACCTCCTGGTTCTTGCAAGTTATATCAGGCCAACAGCCACAAAACTCCTCAAGAAAGTTCCCACCTTTGCCCTTTGAAACCTCAGTCAAGTCAGCTTCTCAGTAAGCCCAAGACAAGAGCAAAGCCTTGCAGCATGTGGCTCAACAAGGGCTCAGTCTGTTGGCCCAGGGAAGACAGCAAGAGTCTCTCTCTGGAAGTGCCCTGCTGCCAGCTTCTTCCTAACAGAATGACTTCTACTGGAGCCTGTGAGACTTATGATTACACAGAAATGCACAATAACCAGGTAATCCTTTGTAAATATTGTTTGTTGTACTCAACACTATATCTCCTGAATTCATAACTTCATTTTCCCTGTCTGTGGATCGATATGCTCACCGTGTTCAACTCTCCTAATAATGAAGAAATAGCCTACTCGTATAGCTTTAATAATAAATGTAAAGAAAAACACACACACACACACACACACACACACACACACACACACTTACTTTACTGTCCCCTTTTCAAGTCACAATAGGCAAAGAAGTAAAAGTTACCTAAAACTTTAAGAAATCTCAGTCCCCAAAAGTCATTCATTTAAAATACTAATCCCTTCGTAGATGGTGACTAAGAGAACTGCTACGTTCTCTGACTGTGTTTAAAAAAAAAAACCCCAACATAAATACAGTGTTTCCCCACATGCTTATGTTTGTCCCTGGACAATAATTACACTCTATTATGTAGAGAGAGAAAAAAAAAGGGTGTGAAAAATCTTACCTTTTTTGCTCTTTGTGCTATATCAGGTGTTCTAGTAAGAAGCTTTTCTATAAGGTATTCTCTATTCTGAAAAAAACCAACATTTGGACAGTTAAACCCAATACAAGGAAAACAGAAGTTTCACATAGATTGTAAGACAAAGGAGATTTATGTGTAGGGAGTAGTATTTTACCTTGGCTTTCTGGAAGAATTTGCATTTTAAAAGTTCTGCTGCTGTGGGCCTGAAAGATCAATAATAAATTAGAGTAGAAACAGAGATCCCCCTAGTGAATACTGTACAGGACATTTGTGAAGTGACACGTATTTTGTAGTGTTGGTAGCTATAAAATTAATTTTTAAGATCCATAATGGTATACATATTCATTCACCATACATGTTGTAAGGACGTTCCTAGATGGTGAAAGCACTAGATATAATCAATGTCCTGTCTTTGTCCATCTTTTCATTTAAAAGAAATTTAGTAATTGTGAGAGGTACTGGATTAAGGCGGCAAGATTTACAACCTCTTTTTTTTCTTCTTAAGTGGTTAAAAAAAAAAAAAGAGATATGCTCTCCTAGAGGACTCCAATGTGCCTAACCAATGCTCCAGATGAAGAGGTACCGTATTTTCCGGCGTATAGGGCGACTGGGCGTATAAGATGACCCCCTATCTTTTTAATTAAAAGATAGGGTTTCATCTTATACCCCAGCGCCCCTCCGCCTCCTTTGCTCCCAGTGTCCCTGGTCTGCTGGAGATGGTCCCCAGCAGACCAGAGGCACCGGGAGCAAAGCCGCCAGGAGCGCCTGGGCTGCCCCCGCAGCCCCTCCACGGCTTTGAAAGCCTCGGGGGAAGCCGGCGGGGGGCATCCCAGGCGCGCATGGGCTGCCCCCCCTCCGGAGCCCCTCCGCGCTGCCGCGGAGGGGCTCCGGCGGGGGGGCAGCCCGTGCGCGCCTGGGATGCCCCGCTGCCGGCTTCCCCCGAGGCTTTCAAAGCCGCGGAGGGGCTCCGGCGGGGGGGCAGCCCGTGCGCGCCTGGGATGCCCCGCTGCCGGCTTCCCCCGAGGCTTTCAAAGCCGCGGAGGGGCTCCGGCGGCGGGGCATCCGGCGTACAAGACGACCCCCGATTTTTGGGGGATGTTTTTTAACTTCAGAGGTCGTCTTGTACGCCGGAATATACGGTAGTCTATTTTTTGGTCAAGGTCCAAATTTATCAAATATGTTGTCCACAGAAAATAATAATAAAATAATAATAATAATAATAATGAAATGAAAAATTTTGGGAGGCATTCGAAAGCATCTAGAGATCCAGATTTGTGGTCCACCTACTGAGTACCTTTACTCCTATAGTGGGGTGTTAACTGCCATTTATTTCAGTGATATGGACACCTGTATTTAAGAAATTGGACTGAACCAATTAAATTGTTTCATAAGCCAGACAACACTGTCCGAGAGCTTTCAGCCCCTAGAAACACCAGCTGAATATCCTGCAGTAGCTAGAGGCCCAATGCTCCATATTTAGTCCCGGAGTTCTGTTACCTCCCAGGCCCACTTAACTTTACACTTTTGAAATTTGCAGCTGAAGTCACAACCTGCTAGAGTGTTATACTGTATTTCTGAAGAAGATAGAACAATATTCACCCACTTTTCCCTATAGATAGAAAAATCTCTTCTTAGGTCTTCTGCCCTGACTCAAGCAGAGCTGATCAGAAATGGGTTCCCCCTCCTTCCAACTTCCACATCGTAAATAAAAACAACCCACTTTGATTCAAAAACGCTGCTGTGGTGCCCCAGGCGAGTTGTATTTCAGGTACCTCGTGTTCTTGTTCTTCATTATACCACTAGGCTCTGTCTCCCCTGATGCACCACTGCCCCTTGTTGGTGAGGGGAGATGGTACTAGATGGGAGCTCTTGGCCATGGTTCATTGTGGAAGAGGTATAGTCTAGCTGGAAAGTATGGCTTGTAGAAGGAGCTGGGGACATGAAGCAACCAAATGACAAATCCCGTAAGGTAGCATTCTGAATCAGCGTATTTTTGTCTTTGGGCATTCTGGGTTTTTTTCAAATGGACGGAAGGAAGGAAAAATTCAATCTTTGTATAGAAAAAAAAAAGACACCTTTTCACAAATTAAACGTTAATTTTCCACTATTCTATTGATTTGTAAACAGAAAAATAAGTTCTATCATCTTTACTGCAGAGGATGAAGAGGACTGAACAGAAACTAAAGCAAAGCCCAATTAATGCCTATTGCATTTGTTTGAGTGGTTAAAATATATGAAGAGCTTACAGTAATTCAGGAAGAAGTCACAAGGGTGTTTCTATTCACAGGAGTTGCAAAAGTTTAAGCAAAGATGCAATTATAACCAAATTTAGGAGGAGTGTCCACACAGTTGCAAATTCTATATTGGTTAAAAGTTTGCTTGTATCTTAATTTGTTTAACGTTTCAGGGAAAATAGGGAAGAAAAGACCAGAAAAAAAAGTTTTGGGTATGTCTACACTCGAAAGTTATTTTAAAATAAATACTCCCAAAATAAAAATTCTGGAAGTGTGTGTCCATACTTCAGAGAAGCCTTGAAATTAGTCTGAGGCAAGGTCTCAATGTGGGCACGCTAACTCAACGTAGAGCCCCAGGAAGTACTCTGAATGTCTCTGGGGAATATTATTTTAAAATAGCAGCAGTGGAGCTTCCACAAAACCACTATTTTGAAATAACTATTTCAAAATAAGGATTATTTCTCGTGGAAAGCAGGAGTTATTTCAAAATAACCAGTCCCTTATTTTGAAATAATGGGCTTGGTAGTGTGGATTCTCTGCTTGTTATTTTGAAATAAGGGGAGTTATTCCAAAACAGCCTAGTGTAGACCAGAGCTTTCTTATTTGAGTAAGCTCAGTTCACATGCTACACACATTACAGAGCAGAGGGGGGGGACAAGCTACAACTTGCAGGCCACATGTGGCCTATCAGACCCTTCAGCTGTGACCCCAAGCTCCTGCCAAGGGAGGGGGAAGGTAGGACAGCCAATGCGGCACTCAGGCCAAAAGTTTTGCCCAATTCGGTACAGAATCCCTGCTATCAAGGAGAGTACTATCCAATTTAGAGATATACTGCATGTGAAAAATGGTTTATCCACAATGAATGGGGGACAACTAGAATACTGATTTTTCAAATGAGCAAGCTAATGGAAGTTTAAAAAAAAAACAAACACACACTAAAAGTTCCATTCTAGTCTGCTCGAACCGCAGAAAGTCCAACAGGCACTTGCACTGTCATTTAGTTGTTTGTTTGTTTTTTAATGTAAAACACAAAGTCACCAGGAATGTTAATACTCTGATGATCACAAACTAGTATGCTTAATGCAGAACAGTTAACCATTGGTAACTGCATTGTAAGGAATCAAGAGTTTGCAGCAGATATTACTACGTGCAGAAGACAGGGAAAATACTGCAACTGCTAGCTTCCTAGGGGATCATCATATTTAAGCATCCATTTTAATCGTGCTTTGAAAACATTGGGCATTTCTACAATAATCTGTAGCCATAATTAAATTGAAGCATGTTCTGGGAAGACAACTTTAAGGAAACAGTAACACGTATTTTAGCAGCCTGCAAGTTTCAGGGCTATGCTTAAAGCATAACCAGACTGGAGACTTAATGAGACAGGACTACCAACGTCTGGAGTAACTGCAGATACTACCCTGATCCAAGAGGATGCATTCTGAGAGGTTCAGGGAAATTCCAAGTTTCATTTGCACTTATTGTTTCTTAACTATTCTTCTATCTATGACCTCTGCTCTCAGCTGCTAGGCCTTATTCAGATCATATTTACCCTGATTTACAGCAAGCTCACTAAGTCGGACTCACAATTATGTCTAGTTTTTAACACCACTGGCACATTACTGCACCCAAATTACACCAGGAAAATAAAGTAAGAAAGCAGTAAATCAGGTCACTCAACAGGCAACATGAATAAGTTTGTAACTCTAGCTCCTAAAACAGGTGATTTATTAAATAAAGTATGTACAGGCAGTCCCCGGGTTACATGGATCCGACTTACATCGGATCCCTACTTACAAACGGGGTGAGGCAACCCCACACTAGCTGCTTCCCTCCAGCAGACCAGGGACACCGCGAAGCTAGTGTCCCCCCCGCCCAGCAGACCAGGGAGAGGTGGAGCGGCTTTTCTCAGCAGACACTTCAGCTTGAGAATAAAGGGCTGAGGGAAGTGAGGTGTGGGAGAATAAAACTGAGCTCTGGAGAAATGTTTGGCTAGAGTTTCCCCTACAATATGTACCAGTTCCGACTTACATACAAATTCAACTTAAGAACAAACCTACAGTCCCTATCTTGTACGTAACCCGGGGACTGCCTGTACACATATTAGTGACAGAATGTGCCTTCCACAGAGTCCAAGAAAGTAAAATCTATACAATGGGTTTACACAGAAATAACTATCAACATTATAATGGGGAAACATCATTGTGGGACTTTAACAACAGTTTTGGAACAAAGATTGTGATTATCTGGAGTCACAAATATAGAGCAGGGATGGATGATTCAGAAAGAATTCAGAGTCTACAGAAGAAAGAGAGACTATCGTTTTCAAGTTAGCTTGCTTACAAAAATTAGCCCTCTCGAGATAATCTTTTCACATAGCACAAATGACTCAATGTAGAGTTAGAAATAAACTCATCTCACAACAACAACAACAACAACAAAAAGGAAAGTCAACAGCATTTCATGGTTTAGGCTGAAACAGTACATTCACACAACAGAAGCTCACCTTGATCAACATGGTCATAATCTTTAACATGGGCTAGCAATAAGTAGCGATGGGTTTTCTGTTCAGGGCAGGGGGCCATGGGTTTTCAAAAGGTTTGAATAATACCTTAATTCTATTGTGCAAAAGCTATACTAGTACACTAAGTTAATCATGCTTGTTGAAGCTTGATAATTAACAGCCAGCTCCTCCCCAAACTGAAGACCTAATATTTTGAAAACAAGGATTTTCCAACTAAATATCCGGGAAAAAATATGTAACAATGGTATTTAAAGTATGATGCACTGAAGTCGTAACTGTATTTTGGACTAATTCCATTTTATACAACAAAAAAGCTATACCTTTTGGAAGGGTCTTTTTGAAGACACAGTGAAATTAGTTTTCTAAACGATTTGCCATACTTTTTCATCATTTCTTTGTCTTCAACACCAGTCTCTAAAGTGGGGGGATCATTTTGCAATGTCAGCATTAACACCTATAGTAAAAGCAAAAGGTGACATGGTAAGTGTCACAATGAAATTACAATACAATAATAGCTGAAATAGGATACAAATATTCCACCAAAAAAATACAATGTTCCTGTTTAAAACATACTGAGGATCACACAACACCAGGGTAATACATTTTTTTTTATTTTTATTTTTTTTAAAAAGAGTACAAAAGAAACAAAGCTGAGTGGTAAATCATGGATGGAGTAGGCTTTTGCCCAGGGATTTGTACAGGCTGACAAACTATGTTCAAATCAGTTCTCCACCTACTGCTAACCAAGCATGTGGCACATCACGCACAAATGCTACATGTCTGACCTTGGTGAACATATTTATGACATATAGCAAAAAGCCACTAATTTTTAAGGCAAACGGTCTGGCCACACAACTTGGATCAGCCTGTTTCAGCTCCAGGGAAAAAATAATGAAGATCTTGATGAAATAGCTAATAAATCATTAAATCAAGAAAGCTATCTGGAAATACCAGAAACTTATGAATAAAAAATTCGTTACCAGAAAGAAGTGCATTGTAAACATCAAAACATGGACTACTTGAAGAGAAATTTAATATAAAAGGAAACTCAAAGGTTAGACTCAGCTCAAGAGTTTTCCATAGACTGTAATGGACTTTCAAGTTGTATCAGACCTTTAATTACACAGTTTCACTAAAAATTAAAGTTTAGTTAAACTCTTAACATAAGCCTCATGATTACATACATTTGTACTATGGTGTGCAGCTCCTGTACACTTAAGTATTCCCACACAGCCCTCTTAGACCAATAACTAATATACTCAACAAGAGAATAAAAGAATTTACTATTCACCAAGGAGACAAGAAAAAAAAAGCAGCAATACTGTAAAATACTGAAAAAGGTTTCTGTCAGGCCTTCAGATCAGGATTAGTCAGTTTAATTCTGGAAAAAGTGAGGAAAGAGTCATAATAGTGAAATTGCTACAAGCAATGAACTAATGTTATATTGAGTTGTTTTTTGTTTTTGTTTTTTTAAACACTTCTTTTGAAAAGTAATAGAAATGTAGCCGTGTTAGTCTGGTGTGGGTCTGGCCCACGAAAGCTCATCATCTAATAAACCATCTTGTTAGTCTTTAAAGTGCTACATAGTCCTGTATTTTGCTTCTTTTGAAATTCATTGGTACTCTAATGTTTCTAACACTCTGGATAGAAATGCATCAGTCTTTATCAAGTACACTATACTAATCAATCTGGGATTCTTGTGTAGGAATATTGCTATGTACAGCAGTTGCTGTAATTTAAGCATATTAAAAATAAATGCAATCAGGGCTTTGGAACAGAGACCGGAGTTGGAGCACGGAGCAGTGGAGCTGCAGGTTTTTGCCCGGAGCTACAGCAGAACCAGAGCACAGAAAATCTTGACTCCCTCCCCCTCCCTCCAAAATGAATGATATTTTAGCAAGAAAGTCCTAACGTGCCAAAAAGTTTCAGATTGTATAACAATTGATATTAACATCTACTTTACCACTTTATGTAATATGTCACAGTTATTCTCATTTCAGCCAAAAATCAAGATTTAATGTAGAGATACAAAATTACAAAGTTTTTTGGAGATCTGTTTTATTGAAGAATCAGATAATTATCAGACATCCAGTAACACTGCAGACTGCTCCCAACCTTGTGCCAAGTTTAGGCGAGTACGTACTCGTGTAGATTAGTTAGATAAATATGGTGTTTATTTTCAACCTTGTAATGTGTAGCCTAGTTACTTCCCAACAATTGAAGTTGTAGAGCAGCAATAGCACATACTAGTGCTACGGCACATAACAAATTTCACTGATATATCTATATTAAAGCGTTTTTGAGATACTAATTAAAAACTTGGAAAATATTTCAAATATTTTCCCTGCAAAATTTCATAAGGAAAACTAACTAGCAATTTATAAATAAAAATTGATTATGTATATTAAAAATACTTCTTACTTCATTAACACTGCAAGAAACATGTAAAAATATTAATATACATTTTAATAATAATTTTGTATAAAAAGAAAATGGGATCATTTGTCCAGAAAATCCAAAATAAATTTGAAGTATCTTAAGTGGTTAAGATATCACAGGCAGGTACATTATAAAAAAAAAAAATATGTAATACTTTTGTTCATTGCTTTTCGAAGATCAGAACAAGAAACATTTGGATGCGGTAGCAGCACAAGAAGATTTGGCTATGGCTTCAGCACCAAACAAACCAACCAACCCACCCACCCAACCAACCCATCAAATTTGCCCCCCCATGATTGATAGCCGATTTATGGAAAAGGATCTCAACAACGTCTTTGCTTTTGAATTTGAAAAGCCCAAAATTTGGGCTTTTGGGAAAAGCAAACACGAAATCGGCAACATGCAAGGTGGAAAAGGAAGTGAATGGAGAGCTCAAACCATGTAGCTTCAAGACAATTGAAGCAAGTGCTGTGAAAATTTTCAACCTTTGGCGGCACGTAAAATGTAACCATCCTGAAAACTATGCGGCTCTGATTACAAAAAAGGACCAGGAAGATGAGGCAAAACAGAAAGCTGACACAGCTAAACAACGTTTATCTGGCTCTTTGAAAATTCCTGGAGAAAAGATTTTTTGCGGCGTTTCATCTGAAAAGAAACCCAAAATTGAGCAAACAAAACTTGAATCATATTTGAAGTCCTCAAAGGTTACAGTCACCATGGCTACCAATACTTTCTGTGAAAGGCTGATGGAAATAGTTTGCTTGAGTTCAACATGGCTCACTACCTTCAGATTAAAGAACAAAGGATTCCAAAAAATTGCAGGTGAAATGGGTCGGCAGCTTGGCGTTTCAACGAGGCATGATGCGGTTTGTCATTTAGTTGTCAGCACAGCTGAGTTTGGTCACGAAGAGCTCAAGAAAGCTTTGGAGCAAAAATTGTGCTACCTGAAAATGGATGCGGCAACCCGTGGAAACAGAAGTTTCCTTGCAACCAATGCTCAGTACTATGAAGAAGGAAAAGATAAAGCTGTGGTAAAAACCTTGGACATAATCGACACTGAAGGGCATCACAATTCTTCCTACGTGAAAAGTCAAGTAAAAGCTATTTTAGAAAAATTTAGGATCAGTGATATGCAAGTGCTGAACCTCTGCGTTGACAATGCAGCAAACATGACGTGTGCAGTCAAAAATTTCAGCAAGGACAATGAAACCATTTAACTCTGAGAACAGGGATGTTGACAGAACTGAAGCTATTTTGCCTGATGAAGGAACTAAAGGAATGGATGAAATCGAACTCAACATGGATGCTGCTGCGCAATGGGTTAATGACCCTAGTCTCATACTTCCAACATGGCTTCATGAGGACGACTCAAAAGTCCAACTGATGAGGTGCGATATTCACACTCTTCAGTTGGCAATCTAGGATGGACTGAACAAAGAACATGCGAAGAAATTACTGGGAAAAATTCAACAAGCCATTGTCAAACTACGATCCCCAAGTATTCAAAGTGTTCTGCTTTATCTATATATGCGATGATTGATAGGCTTCTCGTTTTTCAGTCTTACTGTGAACAAGTGGCTGCTGCTGGAACAAGAGAACTCAAGTTAGCAAAAGTTTAATGGGATGAAGTGAAGAACCTGCAAGACCTCTTGGCAAGGCCAAACCAAACAACCGTGAATCTTCAAGCTGTTGATGTAACCCCAGGAGTTTTAATGAAGGAATAGCAGAAACTGTCAAAATTCTTGCAAGAAAATAGTGGACAAATTGCAGAAGGAATTCTATCCTCCATGAAGAAATGTTAAGACAAGCTTTTTGACAATATTCATTTCCTTGCTGGAGTTTATGTTGACCCAAGGTATCGGATTCTTCTTACCTCAAGGGACATACCAAAGGCAAAGAAAGGGTTCCTTGATATTGCTTAACTCAAAAAACAAAATCTATTGCTACATTTGAACTCTGCAAAAGAGGTTGAAGAAAATGAAACAACAAAAGGAGTCATCAACAATCGAATGTGTGGTTTCGGAAAGTTCACATCCCTCAGAAATAGCAAGCTGTTCTCAAACTTCCATCTCCACTCTGAACTTGTTCGAGCATCTTCAACCATCACAGGGAAATGGAGATAATTCAAGCACCAATTCTTCAGAAGTTGATGACTTCGAAAAGGAATTGGATAAACAAGAAATACGCCGGCGAGTTTCTGCGATTCATAATTGTAATGAAGCATTATTCGAGAGAAACTTTTGGGAAGATTGTGAGGCAATAGAGTCTGTTGGTAGGCTAAAAGTTAAGTCTGTTTGAGGTCATTCACAGCTACCCACACCGCATTCAGGCTGCCAGCAGAATTGCTTCGAGCATGCCAACAACTCAAACTAGCGTAGAGCGACTGTTTTCAGCTTTAAAGTTAATTTTAAATGATCTGCAGCAGGCTATGAAAGATGACTTGATGGCTGCAATAATTTTTTACAGATTGAATTATGAATGATTCTAGTTTGTATCATTGTTGATGATATTTACATTGTTTTAAAACTGAATAAAAATAACGTTTTTTCAAAGTTACAGTATGCGTTTTTTAATTTACTTAAAAATTAATATGAGTCGGAGCGCGGAGCGGAGTGGAGTGGAGTCGGAGTGGAGCTGGAGCAGTCACTATTGGTGCCAGAGCGGAGCTAGAGAGCAGCAATTCAAAAATTTGATTGCTCCAAATCCCTGAATGCAATTATAGGGTTTCTCTAAGTGCATATTAACATGTGACAATTTTAAAAGCAATTTAGCAATTTTAAAACCAACATATGAAAAACAGCAGTAAAACTACCTCTGTTTTCAACTGAGAAACGTTCCTTTTTAAAATATTCCCTACTAAAATTCACCCTAAACTTTTGCTTTTCTGAAGAACAGTTTAAGCTCACTTCAAGACTTCTTAATATTTGGAAGTAAATACAACCATCTGTGAATTTTAATAAAATTTAATGCAAAAGGGGAAGTGCCTAGGAAGGAGTTCTGAAGAAAAGGAGCCAAGGGTCATAATGTATCACAAGCTAAATATGTATGAATGCTGTTGGAAAAATAAGCAGCAAACCAGTGCTTCTACCACTCTACTCCACACTGATTAGGCCTCACTTCCAGTTCTGGGTACCCCATTTCAGGAAAGATATGGACAAACTGGAGAAATTCCAGAGAAGAGCAACAAAAACAATTAATGGTCTAGAAAACATGACCTATGAGGGAATATTGAAAATGGGGGAGAAAGGGGGCGTTTATTCCAGAGAAGAGAACACTGAGGAGGTCTGACAACAGTTTTTCAGTACAGGCAGTCTCCAGGTTACGTACAAGATAGGGTCCGTAGGTTTGTTCTTAAGTTGAACTTGTATGTAAGTCGGAACTGGCGTCCGGATTCAGCCGCTGTTGAAACTGACCAGCAGCGGCTGAATCGGACACGCCTAGGGCACAGCAGCTGGAGTGCTGCTGGGTTGGACTGGTAGCGCCGACCCGTGGCGCGGCGGGACCAACCCGGCAGCCCCCCCGCTGCTCTACCCCAGGCATCGGCGAGAAAAGCCTGGTCTGCTGGGGGGAAGCACTCCCCACACCCCAGAGGCTGCGACAGTGGGGGAGGCACCCCGCACTAGCTGCGCCGCCCCCCTCCCCACCCCGGTCGTAACTAGGGGTCCGACTTAAGTCGGACCCCTAGTTACGACCGGGGTGGGGAGGGGGGCGGCGCAGCTAGTGCGGGGTGCCTCCCCCACTGTCGCAGCCTCTGGGGTGTGGGGAGTGCTTCCCCCCAGCAGACCAGGCTTTTCTCGCCGATGCCTGGGGTAGAGCAGCGGGGGGGCTGCCGGGTTGGTCCCGCCGCGCCACGGGTCGGCGCTACCAGTCCAACCCAGCAGCACTCCAGCTGCTGTGCCCTAGGCGTGTCCGATTCAGCCGCTGCTGGTCAGTTTCAACAGCGGCTGAATCTGGATGCCTGGGACAGAGCAGCTGGGGTGCTGCTGGGTTGGACTGGTAGCGCCGACCCGTGGCGCGGCGGGACCAACCCGGCAGCCCCCCCGCTGCTCTACCCCAGGCATCGGCGAGAAAAGCCTGGTCTGCTGGGGGGAAGCACTCCCCACACCCCAGAGGCTGCGACAGTGGGGGAGGCACCCCGCACTAGCTGCGCCGCCCCCCTCCCCACCCCGGTCGTAACTAGGGGTCCGACTTAAGTCGGACTGACGTAACCCGGGGACTGCCTGTATATAAGAGACGGTTACAAGGAAGAGTGAGAAAAATTGTTCTCCTTAGCTGCCAAGAAGCAATTGGCTTAAATTGCAGTGTAGGGCGATTTATAGTGGACAATAGGAAAAACTTCCAAACTATCAGGATGGTTCAGCACTGCAATAAATTGTCCAGGGAAGCTGGGCAATTTCCATTATTTGAGGTTTTTTTTTTTTTTTTTTTTTAAGGTCAGGTTAAACAGACACCTGTCAGGGATGGTCTATAATACTTAGCCCTTGAGTGCAAGGGGCTTGGATAATTACCTCTCGAGTATTATGATTTTATGAACAAAAAGGCAATGGAAATGTAGTGGTGGTTCACCCCTATCCCCATGCTTTATGAAATGGGCTTATGGACATAAATGTACATAACTCAAAGGTGCTTTAAGCAAATTTCTCTATGTAACCCATCCATCTTCATGTCTTAATCCACTGGATCAGTTTATCTTATTTTGGTGTATGTATAATTCTTGTGTGTAAAATTAGCATATGGAGTAGGGAAAACTTTATGGGTTTTAAATGTGTGAAAAAGTCATCAAAGGAAGCCTCAGTATCTGGGCAATCATATGCAAATAGTCTTTTGCCCTTAAGTCTCACAGATGTTTGTAGGGACAGGCCAGGTTACTCCTTGTGCAATAAGGGAATCTTTAAAAAACTAATAGGAAAGTAGGAGTCTTTTGTCTTTGTCTGTGAACCTGAGATCCGAGGGGAAGTGGACATTTCCCTGGTTTGAAGGTACAAAACTGGAACAAAGTTTTAGGGTGAGTTTGTACTGAGGATTTAATCTTAGAATTAAGCAAGCCTTTTCTGTTACTTTTAATTTGTAGTCTACTTTGCTCTGCCTATTCACTTATAACCAATTGAATCCTACTGCTTGCACTTAATAAAAATCACTTTTACTTACTATCAAGCCCAGTGTAAATAATTATCACCCAGGGAGCAATCAGTGTGCACATTCCCCCTTTCATTGTCAACGGGGGCTTAGCCAAGTAATTCATTGGGGGTTTTGATCCCATTTGGGGAGTGGTATCCCAGGAAGCTGGGCCCAAAACTGCACTCGCCTTGGACCTGAAGAGGTTCATTGTCTGAACTGCTTCTTGGGGCTAGGGGGCAGTGATCTCAGCTTGGTGCCTTGGTTGGGGGAGACTAGTAGAGCTGGCCCAGCAGGACCAAGCAGTGAGAAGCCCCAGGGAGTGGTTAGTTAAGTGGCGGTGGCCGTGTCAGCACTCCGGGAAGCCCCTCCAAGGTGTCTTCTGGACACACGTGTGTCCAGGTCACACATTATTGTGTGTCAACTATAAAGTCAGCACATAAATCTTAGTTTGGAAAAAATGCAACATCGGTTATTGCAGCTTTCTGCCATTTTTAAGTATAGCAAATTTACAATTCCATACCATCACTCATTTGATTACTTCAAACTGTATTACATGCCCTTAACCTTACAAAATTCCCATCATTGCCATTTGTAGTCACTTTTCTGATTATACTTTGTAAAATTAGAAAAGTGACTAAAAACGGCACTCTTCCACTTCCATCAGATCCACATTCTCAGAAGGGACTTTGAACACACCAATTTCTTAATATCGATATGCTTCCAAAATTCAACTTTTTACTATATTAGCACTGAAGACAAACAGAGCAAGGGGAAAAAGCAATCTGACTCTTCTTCCAGTCACACCTGACACTTGTTATCTAACTGCTGGTTGAAGAATCTTTCTTACTAGTGATAATTTTTAATCACTGAGCCACTTTCCAGACAACTGCATGCGACACTACTTGCTCATGCAGAAAGCAAGCCAGGAACAATACAGGGATCCCACCATCCAGTCCTATGCTCTGGACAATCTTGCCTTCCTCATATAATCTACACAAGGCTGTTTAATAAATAGGCTAAAATACAGCCATCCCAGACACTTGAGAGCAATGTTAGAAATTTACACAAGGACCTGAATGTTATTTATGCAACCAAAAAAACTTAAACAATGAATGGTCCTACAGCACCTTACGTAGTAGTAAATTATACATGATTTCCAATGGTACTTACTTTCATAGGAGGATATTTGTGGTAAGGTGCAGCTCCTGTTGCTAATTCAATGGCAGTTATTCCAAAGCTCCATATATCAGCCTTGAAGTCATAACCTCTCACCTATAACAGGGTTTAAAAAAAAAAAAAGTTTTACTGTGGTTTTTAAAGGTAAAGTCATTATAAGATAGGAGTGAATTTCATTAACCATAAAGATACCTGTTCCATTACTTCAGGTGCCATCCAACATGGGGTGCCTACAAAGGTTTTTCTTACTTTGTTACGGGTAACATCACCTCCTGTTGCTAAAAATGCACTAACACCAAAATCTGGAAAACAAATTTTTTTTAAAAAAGTTACAAGTTCATCAGATTCCCTAC